CATGGTGACAAATCTCCCTCTGATCCACGAGTGCTGCGACTGCCTGTCGTAGTGACGACCTGGAGCAGACTTCGGCCATACTGTCCTCAGGATTCCAGGGAACCACAGTGGCTTAACCACCAAATATCCGAAAAATGGTGATTATGCTAAGGTCCGCACAACCAACGAGGACGGGCTGTTCAAGTATCAAGTAAGTAAGCATCTGTAATAATTTTGCACTATGTGTCTTTTTATTTATTCTAGGTATCTACACCATATACTTATATCCTAAAATGTATTTGTTTACTAGAATATATAAATACTATTAATATAATTGTCACTGTCATTAATAACATTATTAATGGTACTACTACGGTTAGCCGTGCGTTAGTAATGCCGTTCAATAGGCACAAGATTAAGTCCTATCAGGGCAAAACGAGCTTTCCCTCCTTACAGTGGCAAAGGAATGGTAGTAGCTTTGTCGGTCGTTGATAAAATTCTTGGAACCTTCTAGCAGGGCTATACCAGGATTCCATGAGAATCCACTTTCCAACATTCAGCGATGTCCACTAAGAAGACAAGACGAAGATCCTCAATCAGAACTCACATAACCTTTTGACGGAAGGAAAGAAGACAATAGAATGCAGAATTAGATTTCACACCGCGTGTGGTGTTGGATCACTTAAAAAAGCTAATCACTTGCTGATGTTGCCATTGCTGTCGATAGTGACGAGTAACTGTGATTAACGTCTTCATTCGTTCTTATCACATCCTAAAGCCTTTTTGGTGGGCTCTACCCTTTGCAGGAGAACAACTAGAAGAACCATGATTTTTTTTCAGAGTCTCTGTGAGGAAGCCTGGCCGTTATTTTGGAACCGAACCTATTATAAGCCTGCCATCTCAATAAGCGCGGTCATTTACACGTCTTCTTCAGTCGTTGCTGTTTAGAAATGTCACCGATTCGCAACATTTTTGTCGAATGAAGCAGCGTCCACGACCTTTGACGATAGGTGAAAGTCATCGAATTTGAATTCTTTGTTTCACTTGCACAAACCAAGATTGCTGATTATTCACTGGACGGTTAAATATAAGGCGGGTTTTAAAAATAGTTTTTCGCTGACCAATCCTTTCTTCTGCTTATGCAGCTTCCCATGCTTCCAATAATTGTGTAGCAGGGAGAGTCAAACATACACTTGAATACCTGAAGAAAATTCGTTGTCGTCCACCCTCCAATCTAATATTCTTTCAAGCTTCCAGAGCTGCGAACTTAAAGTGCCCTGCTTGGTTCAGACGTTGTTGTTCAAAATAAAGATGTCCATCTAACTATATAGCTGGAGTATTAGCAGATGTTCGCTTCGCTCAACATGAATGGAGCAACAAGGATATATCTCCCTTGCACAAATTTTATTTTCCGTAGCATCAGTAACGTTTCTATGTTCTAGACCAACGCTTGTGAATTCTGTTCGCCACGAAAGAAATCAAAAGTTTCCAGCGACATCTTCTATGTCAACTTTTTCTTATAGGCAGCTTAACTACAAGGGCATCGATAACTTCTTCTATTGCGTAGATGCTCTTAGATGAGTTGAGTCCTGAACGAAAATGTCGCACTGTTCAGCCTTGCTTATCGTGCTCGAGAGATCAATACCTTAGTGTACATAACTATGGTGCAGTGGTTGGAGGCGCTACTGCGACTCACGTGGTATCGATCCCTGCGCCCATGGTCCAGCAAGCCTTTCGTACCTCCGGGATCGGCAAATTGGTACCAGACTTGTCTAGGAGTGTAGCAGCACTGTCCCTATACATCAGTAGGCCACCGCGTTTCAGTGTAAACGCCAGATTTGCATTCCAACACTTCCAACGATACTTAATGGATTCGAATGCATGGCGCATCCCTTAGGGATTGATCAACGGTGAGAACTTCATCCTTTTTATTTACATAACTGTGAGACAGCGGGAAACACTTTAGAGAGCGGTGTGGTCATGAAGCATCACCAAATATGTTGCTGTATAATAGAATAACATTGTCTAGTTATGAAGCAGCTGCGCAGATTGCAAAGAACTATTTGTTTTGAGTATGTACGCTGATGTTTATAAAAACGTTTGTCCCACCAGAATTGAATGTTTTTCAAGTTGATGAAAGTGAAGCAAGGTGGCATCTCGTACTTTGTTTGATGAGCTAATGCGTTTTAGATCCGAGTAACCACAACTCATTGCATTAAGCCTTTTACAAATCTTTGTATTGTCCTCATGACTGTCTCTTACCCAATATTCTGTCAGTACTAGTGAAGGTTGCTCTATTGGAGAGCTTGTAGGCTACAAGCAACATGTACATTGGTCGAGCTGACAATGTTTTGCTATTCATTTCCATGTTCTCTCTTCCCGTACATCTGGATCTTTAGAGATTTGTTAAGGAAGTACAGATCGCAGCCACTATTTCGATGATTTTTTTCTACATAACCCTTATCACATTTTCTGTGCGGATTCCGGCACTTCTTGCATCCGATTCATGTCGCATCCACTATCCGTGAAGTTCATCGCACATTTGGCGTGTGATTTTGCCTGTTGCTTTAGGAATTTCGTCTTCGTTAGGAATGTTGTTGAATGATTGTCGAGTCTGTTCTAACTGCAATCTTGGGAAAGCCGACCTAAGGCATGGATTGAAGGAAATAGTGTAGGCCGAGACAAGTTTGGTGCCATTTTTGATCCCGGAGATGTGGGAGGCTTGGTGAACACAAGACTAGGTCGAACCAGCGGCATGCTCATGATTAACTGCATCGTTACAATTTCGCATCCTGTTTTAATGAATACTATTTAAATTTTTAACATGTTCAGAGCTGTTCTTTTCAAGGCAAGGCTCGTACGATTCATCATGGGCCAAGTAGTATATAAACACTCAGAAAGGAGAGCAGCTTAGATATCATTCGCTGTTTTTCTTCAATTAGCGGACACGAGGTTGGTAGACTGACAGTCCTCCACCATGTATTTCTCATTGCGGCTGCTATCCACCAACTAGTTGGAACAAAAAGATGAAAAGATGAAGCTCATGGCGTTGATCAATCCCTGAGGGACACGCCATGCATTCGACTTCACTAAGTATCGTTGGAGGTGATTGAATGCACATCTGGCCTTTAAAATGACTGGCGATGGCTTACCGATGTATCTAGCCAATGCTGTTATCCTCCTAGACTAGTCTGGCACCAATTTGCCAACTCCGGAGGGATGGAAGGCTTGGTGGGCCGTGAGCACGAGGATCGATTCCAGGTGTGTTTCGCAGTGGTGCCTCAAACCACTGCGCCACAATTGGAAATACTTACAACGAATAAACGGCTCTGAAGAAGGCAAAACTGCCGAATCGTCAGCTATTGTATTTTAATAAATTCTAAAGTACCAACCTTGTGTCTGCTTATTGAAGAAAAACAGCTGATTATCAATCAATGCCGAGGTTAATAGAAAGTCGATCTTGGGAATTTCTATGTGAAGTGCCAGCTTAAAAATACTCCCATTTTTTATTAAATTGGCGAAAAACTGTTGTCGACGATAGAACTGAAGGCATGGACAGACTTCGTTATCTTTCTGGATATAGAGATTGTTTCTATTGAATAAGTGACAGAGATAACATCGTTATTGTAACTTTTCTCAATCTATGTGCTTTCAATCAATATTGCTCTTCATCTAAACTTAACATTTTATTCTTTTCATGTAGAGCTTCGAAAGCATGGGGTGGCTCTACTTTGGCTTGTCAACGCACGACTTTCTAATGAAGTCTCCTCATGACTTTCTGAAGTTTTTTGACTAAATTAAAAGACAACGAAGGTTGACGTTTTCCTTGCCACATTCGTCTGATCGTCATTTTGGTGCATTTCGATAGATTTCGGTACTCAAACGGTCGCGTGTGGCGCAGTGGTTGGAGGCGCCACGTGGAATCGATCCCCGCGTCCATGGCCTATCAAGACTTCCTTCCCTCCGGGGTCGGAAAATTGGTACCATACTTGCCTGGAAGGACAGCATAACTATCTCGATATATCTGTAAGCCACCGCGAATCATTGTAAAGGCCAGATATGCGTTCAATCACCTTCAACGGCACTTTATGAAGTCGAATACATGGCGCATCCCTCAGGGATTGATCAACGCCGAGAGCTTTATCTTTTATTTATCGGTGTTTATTACTATTTAGAAAGTTTATTTAGCAAAGTCCGTTTTTTTTGCGATTTAAAACGATATGGTCATTTTCACTGCTGCACACTTTTTACCAATTTAATAATTGCTAAAGTATGGGAGATTAGTTTATCAAGCGCTCGAGATCGAACCATTCACCATTTGTCTATTGCAAGGCGCCTCTCTCCACTGTGCTACACGCCCTCTAGGCTAATAATAATTTCATTGCTTGTAATATCGCAATTAATCAACTATGGTTTCAGAAACTAAATGAGTTTAGAAATGTTTTGTGTTCTGGAAATCTCAGCCACGTTATGTTGTTTTTCAACCATAGAGTGTAAATCCAGTGCAATAATCATGAACGAGAATTCTGTGGACTCGAAAGTCCATTTTATTTTGGTCAACTTCGAAGAACGATCGCAACAGTGGTTAAAAAAGTTTGGAAGCAACTGTAAGACTTTTATTATTACTGTTAAAAACGCTTTGAGAATATTTAAACATCAATTCTAAGAAAATATTAAGGAATAAACTACATTTGAAAATGTGGGCCCGTGAACACTACACGATGACCTAGCAGTAATCAATTTCTGTTAACTTTTTAAAGACGGATTCATTTGTCAAAATAAGGCCAGAAGCAACTTCACATTTTCACTATAGCGACTGAATTTAAGAATAGATAAAAGAAAAAAAAGGATTGGGAGAGATTATGTTTAATGTCGATGACGGCGACAACGACGGCATCGACGACGACAGCGACGACAGTGGTGACGATGACGAAAGGCAGTGCTAAATCCGGAGGATCCTAGACAATGCAATTGATAAGTGATCGGTTGGTGGACACTTAAGAGATCCCGATGGATTACTGTCAGTAGAAGCGTGTCATATCGTGCCAGAAGCACGCCTTCATATTCTCGAAACGATCAAGACATGGCGCATACGACATATCAAGACGAATCGGATGCCCTGTAACGGTTCTTTTGTTGACTTTTTCGTCCAGCTACTTTTCAATTACAACAGAACAGGAAAATTAGAAGAAATGAGTTAAACAAGGATAGGTGCAAAAAACAAGCTTGAAATCTACAGTCGATATTATATTAATATAATCATATGGAGTTTTACACTATAAATTCCTATTGCCTTCCAACAGTTTATCGCCTCATCGTGGCTGGGAGCTGTTTTTCCTGGGCGCCGGGCTGCGAAGTACAACGGGGGATTCATCACTCGGCAGACTCTCACAAGCTGAGAAGAAGTCCGGCGTTTCCACTAAGCAGCGCAGCTAAGACTAAACCAATACCAGGATCCACCATCGCCCTGGTATGAAACAAGCCGCGTAGTAGCAAATTATCCTCTGATCCACAAGGGCGACAACTGTCTGTGGTGGTGACGACCTGAGGCAGACTTAGACCATTGCTGTCCTCGGGCTCCAGAGAACTACAATGGCTAAGCCAGCATATCTCCGAAAAATGGAGATTACGCTGGAGCACGCACGACTAATGAGCAAGGGCCGTCCAAGTATCCAAGTGAGTAAATTTCGATTATGGGAATAGAACTGACCCAGACGTTGATTGCATAAAGTCAGACACTTCATACCGGCTAACGTCGTAGTGACACCATTACGAGCACAACAGTCAGCATGATCCCTGAAACTTTCGGTAGACGAAGAAAACGGCACTTTTTGCTAGTGTTATATATACGCTTCGATTACACAAAAGTAGCGTTAATGTCATGAAACAGCGCTTTCTATTCCAGTTTCTCTAGTATGAAATCAATTTAGGACACTTTTATTAAATATTTCTATCAATATTCTATTTTTGTATCAAAAGTGAATTCGCAAACCGGATTCATCGTCGCGCTCACGATTCTTCAAACCTTGCGAGCGTCTTAAGATGATTAACATTTAGATTTCATTTCTCTCCAGTTTTTCTCAGTTATTTCAGATAAATAAGTGAACAATTCATCCCTCCCTAATGGAAAAACGTTTCCAGACTAGCTGTTCTCCACAGTAACTCGTATCTCCATCAAAATCGATGATCGTTTTCTTCTACTGGAAATGCAGAATTCTCACCGTCCTTGTGCAGCACAAAATTGCATCTCACTCATCGCTTCCATAGGGCAGGGGTCCTGCTTGAAGTACATGGATGTCAGCTGTAATTTCGATGTTCTATATATGTTCTCTGAGGCAAGAAATACTTTAAACGAAGTAGAATAAACAGTAAATCGAAAATGAAATAAGTTTAGGCTCCCCGGCGCTGGATTAAGGCGAACTATGGTAAACGGTATTTTCAAAGATTTATGGTTCATGACCGAGATAGCCGATGTCGATAATTTTAGCAGACAAAATTTAGAATATAGACAAAAATACTGGAAAATTGATATTCCAACTTTCTACTTAAGGGTGTGTGTGGTGCAGCGGTCGGAGACGTCCTCTAATACACACGGGTTCGATTTCCGCGCCCCTGGCCTATCAGGCCCTCTATCCTCCGGGTCGGCAAATTGGTACCAGACTTGTCTGGGTGGAGGATAGCAGCACTAGCCCGATACATCGGTAGGCCATCGTGAGTCACTGTGAAGGGCAAATATGCATTCAATCACCTAAGATTAATGAAGTCGAATGCATCCTTCAGAGATTGATCAACGTCGAAAGCTTTTTCTTAGCTTTAATATTCCAACAACCTAGTAGTATTCGACATGTGCTCACAATATTTAGTCTTTTCCTTAAACTTTCAAAAGTATTTGGCAACATACCGCTTCCCTTGTGTAACTCCTAAAATTACACTTAGCAAGACAAGCATCCGGTAGTTGTCGGTCCATACAGCATTCGAAGAAAGCGCGATTCGGATTCTATACATTCAGAAATTCTGCTCATAAGAAATGATAGAAGTTTCATTAGTCAACTTATATATTAAATAAATTTTTCTAGGCTAAAATGAGTCGTAGAAAGATCAATTTTTTCCATTACTCACAATGGGACCACGTTTTCTACGATTTTCGGCAATCGAAGGGGACACTATCTCCAGTTCTTCGGATTCACTCATTGGCTCATTACGCCTCAAGTTAGTGCGCTCCAGTCTGAAGTAGAAACCTTAGTTCTCATAGGTTACTTGTCAGCGGACCTTTACTTTTGAAAAAAAGCCGCTATCATTTATATGCCACGGAAGTATAAGAAAAAAAATGGCGTCGCCCTAAAGAAAAGACGCACTATCAGAAAGCTCTTCGTCTCCTCTTTCTCATTGTGCATTTCGTAAAACAATAATTTTCAAATGTTCTTGTATCTTTGGTATTATTGACTTGCTCAATCTATTTATAGCAATCACTGAGATGTCAACTGAGGTATCCTAGAACCTTTTAAGTATTTAACCTTTCCTGAAGTGCCCTCCGATCTTGTTCGATAGCCGAGTCGTCGGTACGTGCTCGTGACCGGAAACGATTCGGTTGGAAACTTTTTGAGCCACGAACTCGTGCTCTGAAACATTTTTGTAGAAGTTTTCGTTTTTGTACTACCGTAAACAAGTAAACTTCTGAATACTAAATATAATAGTGATATCGTCCTTGTACATCTAAGAACTTACATTTGTTGCCAAATTTCATTGATAGATTCTACCTTCTACCTTCGCTTTTTTCGGTAAGCTTTGCATTCTACTACTTGTCTCAATCGTAGTGGATATTTTATTTTCATTAAGAATACAGTTAAAATAGGAAAAGCAGTTCTGGACCAAAATATTAATGGACTACTGGAGTGTTTATTTACGACAATCTGCAGAGGAATTTTTTGCACGATGAGAATCCTCATAACGTAAAGATTAGTGAAAGGTAAAAGCTGTTATTTTTTAATCTTGCGACTAAAATGCGTGCGTCTTCACTACCGAGTGGACGTAGGTCGACAAAAAATTTATGACTGTACTGAATTACTGAGCCGCATCCAGCACAGTGATTAGAGGAACTCTGCAATACATACGTGGTCATTAGTTCGATCCTACGCCCTGGCAAACAAAACCCTTCATCTTCGCGGAATATTTGTATTAAGGTCCTTGTATCGGAAAAATATGTCTTCGTTTCAATCACATCGACCACGTTTAAAGAAGCTGAATGCATGACTCATCACTGAGAGTTTACCGGCGAATGTGTCCCATCATTTAATGAATCTTCTACGAGTCTTTCATGTTGGAACGAAGTATGCGGAACAAGGATGAACCTAGTAACATTTCAGTGAGTTATTGGGACAATATGGCAGTTGACATAACCTTTAGATTAACTTTACAATTCCTTGATATTACATAAATTCAGCTAGTTTGTACTCGTGGTCTTTACAACTTGTGTAAGCCACAATAAAATCTCTGCTTGCTCAGTGTTCTCTTACTAAACAAATTTTATTTCACATTCCCAAAAGTTGTGAGACAGCTATAGAACAATTCTGGTAGCGCTAGATTGTCTGGAAAAACGAGTTGTTATCACCGGACAATCACTATTATCAGCAATCACCGCATTGTATAAAAGAGCATCTCTGGGTGAGATTGTCTCATTCGAGAGATGCTCCAATGAGCAAGATCCGACTCTAGACGAAGACGAAGACGCCACATTGAGAAGACGAACAGCTGTGGACAATCAATCCGGATCATCGGCCCTGGCAAAGACGATAACGTCGAAACGTTAGCCGAGTAAAGTTCTTTATCAACCTCCTGAAAGGTGCTTGTGGCGCAGTGGTCAGAGGTGCCCTGCAACACAAACGTGGAATCGATCCCCGCACCCATGGCCCACCAAGCCTTCCATCCTTCCAGGGTTGGTAAATTGGTACCAGGTTTGCCTAGGAGGATAGCAGCACTGGATCGATACATCGGTAGGCTACCGCGATTCATTGTGAAGGCCAGATATGCATTCAATCAGCTGCAAACGTTGCTTGATGAAATCGAATACATGGCAGGGATTGATCAACGCCGAGAGCTATATCGTTTATTCTTTTATTCTCCTGCAAAGCTATAAATGAAAGAACACATGCTAACTACTCATGCCGAGGTTCAAGGAAAGTCGGTTTTGAAAAAATAATGGCAAACATCGTCTAAATTGGCTAGTTGGGGATTATTCGTTGTTTATTTTGAGGCAAATATTTTATTAGCTAGACTTTTAGATAGGGCGCTCGCATTATAGAACTAGATGTCGTCACATACGTTTTAAGCTAAACACTGCCCTAAAGCTAAGGGTGGCAATCGTAGGGTGCACGCGGACATCCCTATTCGCAATTGATTAGAAATGTTTTAAAAACATTAAATACCGTAAAACTAACCGATAGCAACCGTAGCGTCCACAAGCATATGCAGCACTAACACATTGACACGGTTGCACTGGCGGTGCATATGAAGCACAGTATGGTTGAACTCCACAAATCCCGTTCACCGCACACTGAAATCTCCAGAAAATCTTAAATTCAGTAGAAGTCGTAAGTCGCTGCTGGGAAAAAAATTTGGTCTACAAAATTCTATTCTGAACAGGACACAGCTATTAAGAAAACACAGCTGTTCAGTTCTCATTAATTTCTCATAGGTAGTGTGATAAAAATCTAAACACTCTACTATCGAGATTTCTTGAAGACATACTAAATTGGCTTATCAGAAAATTAATGCTAAATCTACTTCTCCAAAATTCCATTTTTCGTCGTTTTCGCTTATAATTGACGTTTTGACTCTTAACAAGATCGACATGTCAAATGATAAAGATCTTCCTCAAGCAGGCGGTCGAAGAATTATAGGAGTCATTGCCATCGAAGGAGAATTCAAGTTTCAAAGCAATAAACTCATCCTCGATTCACAAAGGTAAACGAAAGCTGGAGATGACACGTGAAGGCTTTGGCACAACTATCTTGGATTACCAGAAAGATATAGTTCCACTCATCATTCAAATGCTCAGTAAGAAAAGAAAACAGAAATTCAAATTGCTAACGAACCTAAACTCAATCACGTTTACAGATGACGTTGGAGGGACAAAGGAAAGAATCTAAGAAGTGCTAAGGCCTACACGACATTTGGCCATGGATCATCTAATAATCTTACTAGGCAAATTTTGACCACGGGATTAGACATCCAACACTGTAAACGCTGAATATAGTGGAATAGGGTATTAAGATCAGTGCCGGGAGGTGTAGTCGCCACAACCATATGCGACTGTGATCATCGGCTCTTCCTCAGTAAAAGGCACATAAAAACTGTGGATTTTTTGAGATACTGTGGACCATGTGAATGCTATTTAGATTCTCATATTTCTGTATGTGCTATTGAAGCACTTGACATAGTAAACTGCATATCACTACACCTTCCAGGCTCTGAAGAAGGCGATACTGCCGAAACGTCAGCCACGACTGTTTTGTATGTGTGTTATTGTAGGAAAGTAAACGTATGCTGTTTAGCAACCTAGCGATTGCTGAGGGAGAAAACGAAGAACTTATAATCCAATACGAAGGTTAATAGAAAGTCGATCCTGGGAACCATCAAGATCAGTTTCAACAAGTGCACTCACTCGATCGCTTGCAAACTCACTGCGACTCCTTTAAGCACTTCAATAAATAATTTGAGAAAAAATTCTTTAATAACTAAACACCTACTAAAAACACCTGCAGATGGGACGCATGGTTCCGAAGTAAGGCGCTCTTTTTTCTCAACTTAAGAAGGAAAAGTATCGCTATCTCGATAGGATCACGAAGTTATACTGCTATTTCCTACCATTCCTAACAGATTACGAGAATGAAATATGGCTTCTTTATGCAAACGGATTAGGTTAAGAATATTTTTTTTAATTTAAAGAATTTTTTCTTGAATTCCAAGGTGATATCTAAGCGATAGCACCATTATTGTTCGGGAAAGAAATCATTCATTCACGAGTATCCTATCATGTTTAGAGAGTTTTTTTTTTACGAACCATAGCTGTAAAACGTTGACGTTCACTTTTTGAAGGGCATTCTCCTAACTGGACAAAGAAGGATTCACAGAGAAAGAGAGAGAGAGAGAGAGAGAGAGTGGTGTTCAAGGTGAACGATACGGTATCTATCCAAGTGGTGTATCTCATTTATTTCACTTTACACTACCAACATCAGAAATTATGTGGATTTACACTTCTTCTGTTCGATCGATGGCCCACGGCTTCTGAAGGTTTTCGAAATTGTGCATAGATTCGGATGGTCTTCTCATGAAAACCATCGAATGATGGTTGAATCAAGCCTACCTGGATTTCTGGCATGGCCTGACTAGAACATTCCAAGGTATCGAACACAAACATCTAACAACCTTTGTGGTTCAGGGGGAGCGAGCTGATGCCAGGGAACTCTGCTACCGATTTCCCGACCCAGATTAAGAGAACGCTTTGTTCGCCTGTAGTAGAGCTAACACACTTGCGCGCGTTACACTCCATCATTTGAGTTCTATTAGTGCCTAGTTCGTTTTCTTTAAATTTTCGTTCATGTAGACATCATTGCTACAAATCTCCGCGATCTGTGGGAAACTTAGCCTCGGTAAGTTGACGAGTTCGCGACATATCGAATGCAAAAACCTGTTTCGGGCTGGCAGAACAACCCAATCACCTTATGCATCATTTAAATGAACGATCACTGAACATCCACAGTGCATTCTCTGCAAATCGAAACTTTTCAAGGTTAAAAGACGTGGATATTTTCGAGACAAAGGCAAATTTTCTTGGCAGCATAGCGCAAGACGTCGTGACATCACTAGTAAGTAAATGGCAATTTGTTCGACTGCATAGTTTACACTGATAAGCTTCCTCTATCGTGGTCAAGACTGCTGTTGAAGAAAACAGAAGATTTGTGTATGGATCATCCAGTCTATTACTCAGTACTTAAATGTTACACTACGTGACAATTACTTATCGAAGATTCCGAAAAATAGTGCCAAGAGCTGAAGAAGGCGATTCTGCTGAAACGTCAGCTACTGTTGTGGTGTATGTGCTTTTTGTACGGAAGTAAAACGTTTACTGTTTAACAACCTCGCGATTGCTGAACAAGGAAGCGACCCAGTGCCAAAGCCACTTTTTGGCTACCAAACCACCGTATGGACATCATAATTCACATTTTAGTTGCTGCTGTTATTTTTAAGAGCAAATTGAACCTTAATTTAAAATTTAAGTTTAAAAATGGTTGTTTTAGTCATGATGCTTTAGTCATGATGCTAATTTTCTATTTACTGCGTACTATAATAATCATAATAGGTAATAGTGCGTTCGTTCCCCATTGTAAACACCTGCCGCTCGGAGTTTTGCAAATGTCTCAGCATCATTGTGGCTGTATTTTGGATTATGCCCTGCCGTGAAAAGTTATAGCGGGCAGCAAATAGAAAGTTAACATTGTGATTTCAACTACAGCCTCGTCTTAACTGGGTTCGATGCCTATTCGGGCTCTCCAGATCAATCCCGTTGACGGGTTATTGCTGATGGCACTGATCAATAGAACTAGCTGAGAGACAGGCGAAACGAGTGACCCTCATAGTGTGGTGGTGAACGCTTTAGTCCCCGGAAAGGATAATAACGCGTTTGTTCCTCACCGCAGACACCTGCGCTTCGGAGTTTTGTAAATATCCCAGCATCATAATGGTTAAAATTCTAGTCTTAAATGTTTCTGGATTATTTTCAATTACTTTCAATTTTGACTTAAAATTTGGCAGCGCCTATAGCGCAGTGGTCGGAGGCTTCCCGCAATATACATAGAATCGGCCCTCTCGCCCCAGGCCCACCAAACCCTCTCTCTTTCTCCGGGGTCGGCAGATTGGTACCGGACTTGTCTGAGAGGATAGCAGCACTAACTCGATACATTGGTAGGCCACTGTGTGTCATTGTATAAACCAAATAAGCATTCAATCCTATGTTTAATGTAGCCGAATGCATGGCGCATTCCTCAGGGATCGATCAACGTCAAGAGCTTTATACTTTATCTTTATAATGAAGTTTTAGGGAACAATTTCTCAGCGAAGGTGCACGTTTGGAAGCGATGAAACACTGAAGACGATTTAGACTCTAGTGCCATTACCAGTCTTGTATTTTAAGTGTTTTCTAAATTACTCTGGTTTTTATGATTTTCACAACGCTTTTTAATATTCGGTTAATTTACTCTCATCGCTGTGTTTTCACACACTTACACATACATACATACATACATGCATACATGCATACATGCATACATACATACATACACTTTTTACATAGAGTGATCCTAGAAATGTTCCTGCTTGTTTGAAATCGATTTAGACCTTTTCCCTTATGCTACCTCCATCACACCAACTGTTTCCTCTCCGCTCTTGCATTACTATTTACGCACTTGATTGAAATGCATTTCTGTTTAAATGTGGTTTGATCGACCTAACGCTTTATTCAATGCGCAATAGAATAGTGAAGTCGTGAAGGATTAAAAATAAATACGATTCTAAAAACGAGCCAGTGGTTTTTTATTGTTATATTGAAAATCGAACGGCACAAGAGTTTTCGCTGCTGTTGACAGGCGAGGTCGGGTTTAAGCCGATAAGTTACATTTCACCTAGTCCATATTCAATTTCTTTCCTAGTATAAGACATTAGTGCTTACAATAGTCGACTAATAATGGACTCATCTAAAAAGTGCATTACCACCTTAGTGAACTAGGCAATCGATATTTCATCGTGTTAAAGCGGTTCATTGAAGGTCAACCATCTCAACCCCATAGGATTTCAAGCATTTCAAAGACTACGTCTCTCTCAAGTTTACTGTAATCTTCGACAGAGCTAGAAAGAATCACGAACCTCGAATGTTTGTTGAGGAAGTGATGCGAACGTATACAGGAGAAGAACTCCAGCCGTAATAGTCATACTGCAATAGAAAGAGAGAAAGTAGGATCTCACCTCAGCTAGTTATGACGAGAAGAACAGGGAAATATGAATACGAAACACGAATGAAAAACATGTGGAGGAAATGATGAAGCCGTTGAGTGATTTCTACAAAGGAAACGTAAATCTGTTCAATTACAACATTAACGATTTCTCGCATGCCATAGGATTTTTTTCAAAATTGTTCAGGCCTATGTAATTGACTCCTTTGATGCCTACAGCTTCAGAAAACTATCACTACAGTTGTGTACAACATCAATGAATGTCAGCGATCAAATGATACGAACGTATGACAATCGAGAGTGAATGAAACCACTCGTCAAACTTCACCTGTCGTCTTCGAGCTTTTCTTTTAAGGTATGAAGAGAAAAAAATCGTTAACTTTCTGAAGTGCTGTACTGAAGCCTAGTACTAGATGCTGTGTGTTTGGTATCTTTTAAGGCCATTTAGACAACATGAGGTTCTTATGAAGTTTCCATTCAGTTTAAACAAAAAACTGGACCAAAAGCTTAGCCAAATAAAGCTTTCATAATGACCTCGTGTAATCTGAACAATCTTGAAGATGTTGACCATTTATGCGAAGCTTAAATAAGAGAAGGCTTCGAAAGGCACTGATTCGCTATGTGTTCAGTTCAGTTCCAAGAATGTTTGAATAAAGAAGCGAGAGATCGACCATTATGGTGGTGGACTACTCTACACATTAGACATCTCGGTCGGATTCTTGTAGACAATACGACGACAACGACGACATGAAGTCAACGATGGTGAAATTTTCGGAAAAGCGAGATGGGTGGGCGGACCGCTAAACCTGTCCGCGAGTGTTGGGTGGAAGTTTTTCTTAATCGTATTTAAGAACCTAAAGGAAAACGCAGTAAAGCAAGGTCGGAAAGCACTTCTCAAAAAAGATGATAGGATCTGAATTGTTGCTATTATTGAAGAAGAAGAAAAAAGAGAAGGAAAACATAAGGTTTACGAATTATCACGCAAGCCATTAACTTCTCTTTTCAGTTTAGCGAAGAGAAGGTCGGACAAAAAACGTAGGAGAAATAAGAGTGGTTTCCATATATAAAGCAAAAAACATTAATATATTACAAATCTTTGTTTATTCAAAACTTTGCAAAAATTCTTATGAAACGTGTTGCTTCATCAATTGGGTTACAAGGATTATATTTATGCGTGACGATCAGACCTAAGTTTAGTTCTTCGTCCCAGAATGAATTCTACTGAGAAACTCGTGGCGAAAGTTTAGGATGGCACCAATGCATGACACCGCCATCGTTCGGTTTTGTGTGAAAGC